CGGCAGTAGGTGCAAGAGGGGCCGTTGCTGGCAGTGGGTGGGAGAGGCAGCTGCTGGTCCTGATTGCCCCTCAGGAGCAGGGGGAGGTGGAGAAGCCCTGAGGGGTGATTGGGGCCTGTGCCGGCAGCAGGTGCAAATACCAGGTGGGACCATGGAGCATGGGAGCAAAGAATTTTCAGTATCCACCAGAGGCTCGCCCCATGTCAGTGACCGGTGCCCCACCTTGGTCTGGCGCCCCCGCTCACCTGCTCCACCATCCTGCCGCGGCTGACGCTGGCCATGTTCCATGCGCATCCCCTGGTGGTCATCGCATGTCATAGCGACCAGTTGTTTGGTTGTTTCGCTGTTCCGTCTATTTGCATATTTGTGTTTTATATATATAGATGTTCAGAACAGGTTGTTATACAAAGTGTGATGTCCCAGAAAACCTCAGCATATTGTTCTTGGATTCCAAAGAAATAACCCAGAAGACTGGCTGTGAAAGACATAGGTTTATTAGGACTTCTAGGCTGCTACCGGTGAAGTTGAACCACAAAGCCCCATCTGGCCTGAGGCCTGGCTGAAGGGGGGCGGGGCCCTGGTGCTATTGTTTTGCATGACACCCAGACTTTCCAAATACAAGGTTTTTAGAGGACAGAAAACAGAGAAAAACAGGACAGGCAGGAGGAGGGGAACGTGTAAAGGCTGTGTGAGACCAAAACAATGTGTTCTTGACTGAGGAGCTAGCCAGGCTCACAAGTGTTACAGGGCAGTGAAAAGCTAGGAAAATTCCATGGCAAAGAGGAATAGGGAAACTGAGACAAGAAAGTTAAAACAAGGCCAAACAGTGTGGGCAATTTGCAGCCAGCTTGTGAATAACAAGCCATTATCTTCCCCAGCCAAGGACAGGAGAGAAATGGTTAAAAGCCTCCCCAAGGAGAGAATGCAGGAAAGGGGGAGAGACGGGGAAGTCTTTCTCACCCACTAAACAAAGGAATCAGCTGTTTGAGGAAGGGAAAAGGAAAAAGGGCAGTTTTTTGTTTTAGGTTTTTTTTTTAACTCCCTAGCCAGGGGTCAAGACCCCTTTGGTGGTCGAACGACCCTTTCACAGGGGTCACCTAAGACCATCCTGCATATCAGATATTTACATTACGATTCATAACAGTAGCAACATTACAGTTATGAAGTAGCAACGAAAATAATTTAATGGTTGGGTCACAACATGAGGAACTGTATTTAAAGGGCCAGAAGGTTGAGAACCACTGTGCCTAGGCAGAGAACCCAGCAGTCTCAAGGCTTAACAAGATAAAAATGCCAGGTGCTTCTCATGATTTCTGGGAAGGCCACAACAAAGTAAAAAGGGACCTGGAGAATTAATCTGTACCAAAATACACAGCAGGGGACTTTTAAAAAATGTTTTTGATTTTAGAGAGAGTGGAAGGGAGAGGGAGAGAGAGAAGAACATCAATGTGAGAGAAACATGGATCGGCTGCCTCCTGCACGCCCCCTACTGGGGATCAAGCCCACAACCGGGGTGACCTCCTATTGGGATTCGAACCACCTTTTGGTGCATAGGACAGTGCTCAACCAACTGAGCCACACCAGCCAGGCTCAGCAGAGGAGTTTTTAAACCTATAGACAAGAGGGTATACAATGCCTCAAACCCCCAACCAACTTGCTCTTCAGATTAGTTGAGAGCCCATTCGTGCGTGTTATGTCGGATGATAGATTTGCTTGCCTTGCTTTTTAAAAAAAATATATATTTTATTGATTTTTTACAGAGAGGAAGGGAGAGGGAGAGAGAGTTAGAAACATCGATGAGAGAGAAACATCGATCAGCTGCCTCCTGCACACCCCCTACTGGGGATGTGCCCACAACCAAGATACATGTCCTTGACCAGAATCGAACCTGGGACCCTTCAGTCCGCAGGCGACGCTCTATCCCAGTGGTTCTCAACCTTCTGGCCCTTTAAATACAGTTCCTCATGTTGTGACACAACCATAAAATTATTTTCGTTGCTACTTCATAACTGTAATGTTGCTACTGTTATGAATCGTAATGTAAATATCTGATATGTGGGATGGTCTTAGGCGACCCCTGTGAAAGGGTCGTTCGACCGCCAAAGGGGTCGCGACCCACAGGTTGAGAACCGCTGCTCTATCCACTGAGCAAAACCAGTTAGGGCTGCCTTGCTTCTTTAATAAATTTGATTACCTTAATAAATTGGTTTTATCACAACACAATCAGGGTCTCTCATTTAAATTCATTTATATGAGAAGACAAGAACCAGGGTGGGACAGCTCTCTCCTGTCTCAAGGTGCTGTTTGATAAGACCACTCTGGTCTTCTGTGAGCGGTGCCTATAACACAAGGTCTCACAGTCCGCTGATTGATAGCCTTCACTTTATTTCCTAAGGGTGGGAGGGGGAGGGGCCCATGTTCTCATTTACCATACACAGGCAAATCCACAGACAGGACGTGGGTTAATGGTTGTTAATGATAATGGGGAGTGACTGCTAATGGGGACAGGGTTTCTTTTTTATATAAATTTTTTTTATTGATTTCAGAGAGGAAGGGAGAGGGGAGAGAGGTAGAAACATCAACGATGAGAGAGAATCATTGACCGGCTGCCTCCTGCATGCCCCACACTGGGGATCGAGTCCTTCCTGGAACTGGTTGCCACCCTGGAAAGGCCTCTGGCCAGTGGGCAACTCACCTTCCTTACTGAGGGACTTCAGCCGCCACAGGGGAGCCTCTCTGAAGCCTCGAGACTACCCCAAGACCCCATGAATTCCATCTGTAAAATGGGGTCCCTTTGGCAAAAGCTGTGAAACCTCAAAGACAAACCCTTCCCAGAGCCTGGGGTGCACTTTCCCCACAGGGCAGCTGGGCCCCACAGGCTTGTCTCCTCCCCTGTTCCTATCTCCTATGTATCTGGGAGGAAGTCAGGAATGGGGTGAAGCCCCCACCCTCCATCTCTTACCCTTGGTGTACTCCCTGGGGGCCTCACCCTGTGCTGTTTTTCTGGCAACTCTGAAATGGATAACAGCAAATAACAATAAATCCCAACTTAAAAGTGGAAACAGCTGTGTCTTCCTAAGGACAGCCTGTCTGGGATACCCAGTGCTGCCAAAGGGAGGAACTGAGGGGGGTTTCCTGAGAAATGAGGAGGCACAGCTGAAACAATGCCCCCACCCCCTGGGGTGACTCCCAGAACTATGGAGGCTTGGCTGGAGGGAAGAAGCCATGATGAAGACCATTGTGCAAGAAGGGGCCATGTAGCAACCCGGCAGGGGGCAGGGGAACATTCTCCCTCTACTGCCTTTACCTCCCAACTCCAACCCATAAGCTCCCGGCTCTACCCTGTGACAGGCCTGGGTCAGGGGCAGAGGGAGGGGGCTCAATGGTTCTCCCAAATGAACCCAGCCCCAAGAATCCTGTCCCCCTGCCCTGGATTCTGCAGAAATGATCATGGGAGGGTCCAACAAAGGGATAAGAAGTTGACAAAGCACAAAAATGCTGCAACCACTCTGCAGTCCCAGGGTCAAGCTCCAGTCGTGGCTGGGGGATGGGGCAGCCAGGCCTGCTGTGGAATTCCATGACTCAGGTCCCAAGAATGAGGTGGGTCGTTTTTCTGCCCTTGTGACCAAGTGCCTGAGCCCAGAGGCGGGGGCCTCCCGTACTGTGAGCTGTGCACGCACCGCCTGTAATGTTAGGAGTGGAGACGTCGCTCTGGGGTTGTTTTCCTTGCAAGCACACACCTGGGCACCCCCGCGTGTTCTCCCTGGGTGGGGGGGCGGGATCCCACGGAGCCTGTTTTAATGACCCCGCCTCCCGCCCCTCACCGCCAGGGCTCAGGTGTGACTTATGTAAGTGGCTAAAGGACCGTGATGCTCCCCCACACCCCGCTGGCGGACACTGCAGCAGTGGACGACTCTGGCCGCGACACCCGCCTCTAGGTTCCCAGGCCCTCGCTGGGCGCCCAGATGGGGCTGAGGCGCCTCCCGCAGTCCCAAGATAACGGGTGTCTGGACCCCAGTTTGGTTTTATTGACATTAAAAACAAAACCCCCAGTTTCAAATGAGCTGGAGCGATTTTTCTGCAAGTTCAAAACCCCTCCCTTCGGGTTTCCAGTAGTTTCTCAAATGGTGTGGCACCCCGCGGCGCTGTGGTCAACTACCCGGTAACTGTTAACGGGCCACCAACGAGCCGCTTGCGTGGAGGCGGCCGCCCACCCGCCAGCGAGCATGCGCAGTCACAAACAACAACAAAACCGCAGCCCGCTCAGGCCCCGCCCCCACACACCCCTCACCCCAGCCTCCCAATGGCTGTCGCTGTCACGCGTCACAGCGCCCTAGCGGCTGACCAATGAGGGCGCTGGTGGGCGTGGCTTCAGGATGGGAGGCCAGACGCGCCGGCGCGCGTCCATTGGTCGGCTCGGTGAGGGGAGGAGCCGCTGCCTCCGGGGTGCCCCCGCCGCCGAGATGAGCTTCAGCCGCCTGTGCCGCCTGCTGAAGCCAGCGCTTCTGTGTGGTGCTCTTGCCGTGCCCGGCGTGGCCAGCACCATGGTGAGTGCGGTGCCGGCGGCTGGGCCGGCGGGCCGTTGGGGCGGGCGCGCGGCCTCCACCGTGGCGCGCAGGGCCATGGTGACCTTGGGTGGGAACTCGCTGGCCGGCGCAGGCGGACGGCCGTCGGGACTGTGGGTAGCGCGCGGGCTGGGGTACAGACAGGGTCATGGCTGGGGGTCTTGACTAGATGTGAAGGGTTGAGCGGTCGGGACCCTCGGGCCGCGCAGGGGCTGCTGCGTCGGGACAGCTGGGGGCTTCTCGGCCACTGGCCCCCAGAGAGTGGGGGAGCCCCTTGGGCTGGTTAATCCGGGATTATGCGCCTCTGGGCGTCACCGCCCCTCCCCCGCCCTGTACGCCCCGGGACACTGCGCGGTGGCGTCACAGATGGGCGGCCGGGAGTCCTGGCTACCGGCCCTTTGTCCCCCGGATGCCGCACTTGGTGGGCACTGGAGCGTCCGAAAGGTTGGCATGGGCCGCGCAGGCGCCGGCTCCCCGGGTCGCTGCAGGCAGCGGCGCCGGTTGCCGGGCAGGCGGCGACGGCGGCGGCGGCGGCGCCGCGCCCTCGGGCGGCGGAAGGCTCCAGCTTACGATCGCAGGAGGACGCGCCCCGGGCGGAAGGAGCTTTGTCCTGAGTGTAGGGGGCAGGCACAGCCCGCGGCCTGGAAGAGTGGCTGTTGTGTCCAGTATCAGGATCCGGTGCGCGCGGGGCCCCCACACACGCTGGCGGTGTCCCCCGCCCGCTGGGGCACCTGGTGGGATCCCCAATCCTCCCTCGGCCTCGGTGTCTGCAGTTAAATGCGCCCCGCGAAGGTTGCATGCACCTTTGAGGCCCCCCCCCCCCCTCCCCCGTCTGTCTCAGCAGGGATCCACCTGGGATCTCCTGCGGTGGGGACATGGCTGGACCAGTAGGCCGGGGTCTTCGGGCCTCGAGGTCCCCCATCCGCTCAGCCGCTCCCGTGTCTGTGTCTTGCAGTGCGCCTCCCGTGACCACTGGCGCTGTGCTCAGTCAATGCACGAATTCTCAGCCAAGGACATCGACGGGCGCATGGTTAACCTGGACAAATACCGGTGGGTACCTACCTGCCTGGTGGGGGAAGCAGAAGGAAAGTCTGCAACTCTTACCACCCCGTCCCACCTCCAGGGGCTTCGAGTGCTTCATTAACAACGTGGCCTCACAATGAGGGAAAACACACGTAAACTACACTCAGGTTGTCGGACTGGACGCACGATATGCTGAATGCGGTTTACGGGATCCTGGGTTTTCCCTTTGCAAACCAGTTCGGGGAGGGAGGTGCGTGGGCCCCCGGAATCCCCTTGTTGGGGGGCGGGGGGGGGAAAAGGTCTACCCGTGGAAGGGAGGACTAAAAGGAGGGAACACGCTCCCCCCACACACACACTGACCCCAGTAGTAAGGGTTGCTGGCCACAGGAGCCAGGGACTAATGCCGAGATCAAAGAGTTCGCTGCCGGCTATAATGTCAAATCTCTATCATGATAGCAAGATCTGTGTGAACGGAGATGATGCCCACCCTCTGTGGAAGTGGATGAAAGCCCAGCCCAAGGGGAGGGGCATCCTGGGAAAGTAAGTCGGGGGAGGAGAGGGCAGGGCAGGATGGTTCCCCAGGGGCTGAGGGGGGGCGCTGTAGTTGCCATGGGGTTTCCTCATGTATTCTTGCTTTTTTTTTAGTGCCATCAAATGGAACTTCACCAAGGTAAGGAAGGGTTTTGGGGGATAGAATAGGCCAGGACTGTGTCCAAGGCCAGCTCAGTGCCCCCATCCCAAGAGGCCCTAGGCCTGGCCCTAATGGGGCAGCAGGTGGGGGCTGCTTGCTTGCCCCCAGCCCTCTTGTAGGGCCCCCCCCAACGGACTCTTCTGCTAACACCCCATGTCTCGGCAGTTCCTCATTGACAAGAATGGTTGTGTGGTGAAGCGGTATGGTCCCATGGAAGAGCCCCAGGTAGGTGCCTCTCCAGGGAGCCTGCTGGGGTGGTGCCTTGGGAAGAGATGTTCTGACCCTGCCTCTCCCACAGGTCATAGAGAAGGACCTGCCCTGCTACCTTTAGCTCCACAAGTGTGCACCCCCACATCTGAGCCCACCGCCTGCGCCCCTCGGAGCCTTCCACCCGGCACTCATGACAGTCTGTCTAAAAACCAGCCTGCTGGTGGGGCAGACCCGAGAACCCGGCGTGCACCTCTGCCGGAGGAAGGCCCCTCGGCCAGGCCTGGCTCGCAGCTCTGCACCCCACCCCTGGCTGCCTTGTGGGAATAAAACATACAAATTGGCTTGCTGGGTGTTTCTGCCTCCCTGGGAGGTCATGGGGGTGGAGTTCCCTTGAGGTTCAGATGCCTGCAATTCACCCTGCAGCCCTGCTTCTAATCTTGACAGCCCCACCCCTTAGGCACTGGCAGAGGTGATGATAATTCTTCACTGGTGCTATTCCTGGCCCTGAGCCATGATCTGAGGCCTCTGTTCGGGACCTGCCCAGGGCAGTGGACTTCCCAAGTGGGCCAAGGTGGGAGGGTGAGGGAGGCAGGCACTTTTGGAGCCCAGCATCTGAGAGCTGCTCCTGGCTCAGAGCTATGCTGGGCAGGGCCTGCTCAATTGACTGGCCTCATTGTATGGACCCTGAACCAGGGCACCCAAGCCTGCGCATGGTCCTCATTTGGTGTAATCGGGGAGGAGGAGTCCACAGTCTTCCCTAAGAGGATGGGGAATAATTTGAGGCCAGCTGTTGGGGAGTGGTATTGCTGGAAAGTGGGCCCCCTTCTTTTCCCCAGTAGCCTCAGGGAAAGCCTGAAGTAGGGGGTGGGTACCTGGAGGAGGAGGTGGGTTCTACCAGCTTCTTGGCTGGGGGCAGACCCCTGCCCCTGGACCAGAGGCTTGATGTGCTCCCCACAGCTCTAAGGAGGAGCCTGGTGTCCATTCCTGCCTTCAAGACCAGACCCAGCTCCTGAGCTCTCCTGTCTCTGGGCTGCCCTGCCTGCTTGGAAGGAAACCCTGGGAGAAAACTGAGGCCAAAGCCCTCACACTGGGGGGAGGGGGCCTCACCACCGTGAGGGTCCCAGATGGGCTTCATATCTCTAGTGGGCAGGAGGCAGGGTCTGTTCCAAGACATCACGAGCCTGGCTCAGCTGGTCCAGAGGCAGCTGACTTATGCTGGTGCCAGGACCACAGTGGGCAATGCCCTCAGTGGGTGGATGTATTTCTCCTGCCTGGCTCTCAGCCACAAGGCCAGTGAGTGGGATGAGCCCTTGTGACTGAAAGCAATGGCCTAGGGAGGTGTCTGGGCAAAGAGTGGGCCAGTTTCACACACATTCCCCTATGCCCTACAGATGGCAGCCATCCCTGACCTCATTGCCCAAAGTGGGAGCAGGCACCCCCCCATCCCCACCTTCCCTCCTTCCCGCCCTTGCGGGCCAGAGGAGCAGACAGCCTAGGAAGTAGTGAAAAGGCACATATATTTTAAAAAAGATATTTTTACATATATACACTGAATTATAAATACACATAGAAACCAGGGGTCGCCCACCCCTCCCTCCAGCTCCACAGGCAGATTCTGAGGTCTGGAAGAGGCAGCTGGGCAATAATTTAGGGAGCAGAGAGCAGGTAGAGGGGGAATTGCATATATTAATGGGGGGTCTGCCTCACACAACCTCCCAGAGACAAGGCCCTGAGAACTGGGGGTTTCCTGAGTTTCCAGCTCTAGGGGCCACCCAGTTTTGTGTATTTCAGGGGTTCTGGCATTTCTAGGCCTGAAAAGGTGGGCTGGAGGGCAGGATAGGAGAGGCACAAAGAGGGCAGCTCCACCCCCAGGCCCTGCCTGAGCCCTGAGTGGGACACACACACCTGCTGCCGCCCTGGGCAGAGTGGCAGCATCTCGATCTGCCCAGGCACCGACCAGGAAGGCACTACAGTGGAGGCCTTGGTTAGCTGGATGAGGGGCACCCAGCCCCCCTTCCTTTCAGTAGTTGGCAGGGGGACCGAGCCCTGCTCATCACCCACTTTGGTACAAGACCTTATCTGTGTAGACCTGGTGTATTACAGATAAGTTTCATCCAGAAAGAACACCTGGCTGGGGGCACAGCCCAGGCCTAGGAATTGGGAAAGGGGGGGCTGAACTGGATGACGCTCTGCCGCTCGGGGCCCCCCCCACCCCCTGGCACCCCTGCACCGCCACCCAGGGGGCCAGGGGGCTCTGGGGGCGGCACAGCATTGAGGGAACGCAGCATGTCCTCTAGCACCTCCTTGAAGTTGATGTCGCAGCCCTGGTGCACGAGGGTAGCAGGGTCAGCTGAGGCATCGGGGGTACCCAGTAGCAGAGTGGGCGCAGGGTCCTGGGGCAGTGGAAAGGCGAAGGGTGAGGGCGGTGGGAAGGCCTGGGCTGGTGGGCTGTATGTGAGGTCCAGGACCTCTCCAGGACCACAGGGCAGTGCAAGTGGGCACAGGGCAGGTGATGGCACAGGGAAGCCCTGGCCATGCGCTCTCTTGCGCTTCACGTCTGCGTCCATGTGTTGTAGCTCCTGTAGCACACGGGACACGCAGCCCTCAGGGATCTTGATGCCTGCAGGGTGTATGGGGTGGCAGGTCAGGGCCTCGGGTGCAGAGCCCACCAATCCCCATAACCCCCTTTCCACTGGCACACCCACCCACTCACCAACTTGCTTCTTCTTGTCCTTGGTCTTGAGGCGAACAATCTGCAGGTAGCTGCTGCTGGTGACATCAGCCATGACAGCAGCGATGCGGCCCCACACGCGCAACAGTGCCCCGCACAGCATGTAGTGGTGCCGCAGCCTCAGGCCCTGCACACAGTCCTTGCCTTCCTGCACCAGCCGGCATTGCCGGTTCCTGCGTGGCAGGCAGGCAGGGCGGCTCAGACACTCAGTGCCCCACACCTACCCATGATGACCTGCAGGCTCCTCCCCCATTCTGGCTCAGCTCATCTCTGTGCCACCTCTTGGGGGTCCTGGGATGCCCCAGATGCCCAAAGGGCCCCGTACCCTGTGTGGCGTGTGGGACCATCCCTAGTAGAGCTGCCCAGAGAAATGGAGCAGGGCTGTCTAATGCAGTGTGCCCCCCACCCACTCAGTCCAACCCGGGCCCTCACCACGAAGTGTGGCTGCAGTGCTTCAGCGACAAGGTGTAGTTACTCTCCCAGAGCTCCCTGGCCTCCTCCGCCGTCACCTAGGGGAACACAGTCATGTGAGACCCTGACTGAGAGACCCGTCCACACTTCTAGTGCACAATTGGGGAAACTGAAGCCTGCAGTGCCCCAGGCCGGCTCATCTCAAGTTTGGCAGCCCTCTCCTGGTGGCCAGCTGGGTGGGCACAGAGGGCAGGCCTGGGGCTGCAGAAGCCCCAGCAGGGAAGGGCCACAGCGGGATACATAATAGGGATACATAAGCCCAGGGACATGAGCATCCTGGGGGCCTCCCTGCCTGCCTCCTCCCCGCCCCCATCCCTACCCGGTAGAACTTGCGGCACAGGCTGTCGAAGGTCTCCAGCTGACTCTGCCGGCCGATGTTGGGCTTGTACACGGTGAAGAGATTGCTGCGGTTCTGCTCAGCCAGGAGGCAGCTCGGTTTGTTGCCACGAGCCTGGGCAGGGGGTCTTGTGAGGTTGGGGCAGACAGGGACACAACCCAGGTGGGGGTTCCCATGGCGGGTGTGCTGGAGGGGATGAGGCTGGAAGCTGGACCCCCCCTCTGCTGTACCCCGCTTCCAGCACTGTCCCCATTTCCCCAAGTCTGGGGTCCTGCCCCCAGGTCTGCCCACCTTGTAGGAGAGATAGAAGCCATCATGGGGGCCTGTCAGCTCCAGTGATCTGGTGTACGCCTCCTCCCACTTCAGGCCACGGTCCACAGTGATCTGCCACGGCACGTGGGTGTTAAGGATGGGGGTGGGGGCGTGAGGCCGGGGTCAGGGGAGGCCGGTGTCTGCTCACCTTGTAGAAGATCACCTGCCCGTCCTGCGGGTGGCCGGGGGCCAGGAACACCTGCTGGCTCTCCTCGTAGATCTCCTCGATGCCCGGAGCCAGGTCTGGGGAGAGGACACCAGGTGAGACGGGTGCCACCTGGAGGGCAGGTGCCTGGTGCTGCTCAGCTGGCTCTAGTTCTGGGCTTTGGGGGGGGCATCAACCCCAAGTTCTCAGGTGCCCCGCAGAGGGAGAGGTTCCCCAGCAGAGTAAGCCTGGCCCAACAGACAATGAACCCCTCAGGACCCTCTCCACACAGCTGTCCTGGGGGCAGTTAAGTAAAGTAGGGGTCTATGCTCTCTGTAAAATTTATGAATAGAAGCTTTATTGGTACGAGGCTCCCTTGGCCCTTGGTGTTCTTGGTGAGCGCCTGGTGTGTGGGTGCTGGCTGTCGGTTCCTTTAGGCCCTTCCCGCTCCCTTGGTGGCACTCACCCAGGATGCCCATGTCGTATTTTCCCTCCTTCTTGTCGACCTCAATGAGGTGGTCGAAGGTGTCAGAGAAGTACTGGAACAGTGCGTTCTGCTTGTGCACCTCCAGTCCCAGGATGCGGTTGAGGAACTTGGTGATGGAGCAGTCTGCGGGGGCAGGGAGGGCCTCAGGCTGCGTCAACTCCACCCACTCCCTACCCAGCCCACTGGAAGGTGAGGGGGACTCACCCTTCTCCACATCTAGGCAGCCGGTTCTGGACTCCCGCCCACCGATGCCAACCGATAGCAGGCCCTGCTTCATGTCTGCAGAAAGGGAGGGCTGTCACACGTGCCTCTTGCCCCAAGCCCGCCCCAGGTCCCTCTGCCACCAGTGTCCCTTTGGTATGTGTCAGAGGGTTATTTGGACACAAATTCAGTCTACCAATGCCAGTGCCCCGCACTGGTCCTCAGTGACACCCCCCATGTGCCACATCCCCAGCTCACCCCGGAAGAAGGCAGCGTCCCCTCCTGGGTAGCCCTGGGGCAGGGGCACCTTGTTCTCCATCTGGCTCAGGATGGTGTTGAGGACGCAGCTGAGAGCCCGGGCACCATACTGAGCAGAGAGGCCAGATCAGAGGTTGGGCTTGGGTATCCAGAAACCCCTCCTCTCCAAGCACCCAACCTCCCTGGTACCTTGTTCTCAAAGTTGTACTTGCTCAGGTCTCGGGACTCAGTGGCGCGGCGATCCCCGTGTGTCAGAGCCCCCTGCCAGGGATGGGGAGCTGTCACACCTTTCCCCACTCCCCTCCTCATGGAGCTCCCCCAACAGCCCCCCTGACCAGCTCTCGCCCAGCTCATTCCGGTCCAGCTCAACCACTCACCAGGCTCTCTAGTCGCTTGGCG